TGTGTGTGTGTGTGTGTGTGTGTGTGTGTGTGTGTGTGTGTGTGTGTGTGTGTGTGTGTGTGTGTGTGTGTGATTATCTTAGCTTAGGTTTGCTCGGACTAAGGTGGAACTAAGTTGTTGTTTATTGGAGTGGTGGATTTTGTGAAGCAAAATCTAAAATTAAACTTAGCACACATGCAGCACACCACCATAGAAACTTTTCTCATCCATGTGTCGCTTTGCTGAGCCGAAATGAAACCAAATTATTCCGAAGGTTCTTCAGACTTCAGGCATAGTGAACAGTTTCTGGAACTTTACAAAGTAGACCTCTGCAGGATACTCATCCAGGGGCCTGTACCTATATATAATGACCCCTTGAACCATCAGATAACGACTCTCTAAATTTATGGTGTACACCTGCAAATAATGCAACACTTCACTGCGGTACACTGGTGTGAAAATGTTTGTGTGAAAACTGTAAATAGTGGCTATATTTATCGTCCATATTGTACATTTTACAGCAGTGGCGCATTTCTGTGGAGACATTTTGGACTGTTTAACCCTTCTGAAACTTTTGAATGTTATCCCAAAGTTTTGGGGATCATTAAGATGAGCTGTGGCGGATGTGAGACGAGGCGTTTTGTTCTTTGCGGTCACCAGTGGTTTTCTCATTGGAACACTTCCATGGATGCCATTTATGTCCAGTCTCTTTCTTATTGTTTAATCATGAACTCTGACTGAGGCGAGTGAGGACTGCAGTTCGTTAATGTTGTTCTGGGTTCTTTTGTGACCTCCTGGATGAGTCATCGATGCACTGAATGTTGGTAGGCCAGCCACTCCTGGTAAGGTTCACCACTGTTACAAGTTCTTTTCCAATTGTGGTTAATGGATCTCACTGTGGTTCACTGGAGTCCATAAAATTTCGGAAGGGAGCAAATGCTTTTTTAACAACAATGTAAGTGACGTTCCCCTTTAGCAGGGGGCGTCTCACACCTTAAGATACCCGCTTTTGGTCATATATTTCTAAACAGAGGCATCTTCTTACCTTAACTGATTTGACTGCTGGCCTGGCACACACAGACCACATCGATCGACTATGAGTTTGTCACACACTTGATGTTAGCTTGCTTGAAGTGTTGAACACGAAAAAGAAAACTATGTGAAAATTATGTTTAGCAATCCAATTCAATCCATAACTGTCACTTTTAAAAACGCAAAAAAATGCTTTTTACACCGCCCATTGAAGCTAATATCCCTGAACAAGGTAAGATAGCCTAGCTAACAAAACACCTAGCAGTATCATTTCAGCAAAATTATTGACTTTTGTTGAGTTGAACAATTTTTAGTTAAATGTTGGCCCGTTCTGTGTGTTGTTCTATTTTTGTATTTTTTAACAAAATGAATGCTGCTGTAAATTAAATGGCCTGGGTGTGTAGTTGACACAGACCAAATATGAAGCTGATCTGATCAAATTCCTAGGAGTTCGCAATAGTACAACGCCTGGAAATGGCAAAATCGGTGCCAAAATCTCACATTCAATTCAAAATGGTGGACTTCCTGTTGGGTTTGCGTTGATGGGCCCAATTACTTTTTTGTTCGTCTTGGTATGTTACACGTCTGTGCCAAATTTCATTCATGTAGCCCAAACTATGTGGTCATAGGACTTTATTTAACAACGCATAGGTGGCGCTCTAGAGCCATTTTGCACCACGCATATGCGAAACTATTAAAATACCAAAAAATTTTTTTACCAGACCTGACACGTGTGCAACATTTCTTTATTTTTTCTCTATTTTAAGTATGTTAAAGCCCTCAAAATGCCACTTGTTTTGTCTGAATAATAATAAACGTAGCAATTCCAGTAGGGTCTTCGTACTTTTAATGCTCGGGCCCTAATTACTGAAGTAAAAACCAAAACAGAATGTCTAAAGACTTGAAAGAATCTGATCACCACGGGCACGCCCACGCTTCCCGGAGCGAGCACGTACTGTACAGACCCTGAGAACAATACGTCAGTACGTGCTTGAGCCTGCCCGAAAATGTTCTCCCGTGTTGTCGGATTTCGAAGGAGCGCAAGACTTTGCGGTGAAATAATACATTTTTATCCGTGAGGAAACCAAAAGCAAACCGCATGTGTGGAAACTGAAGTTATTCGCAGTTCCATTACTTGGTGAAACTGTGATTTTGGCTGGCTCGACAGGGAAGTTTGTGTGATCGTTTTTCCCGGAGTGATGTCGAATCCTGGGAGTCGGAGGAACGGGTCCAGCATCAAAATCCGACTGACAGGTAAAAGCGAGAGCGAAAGAAAGAGCTTACGGTGCACGTTTAAACCGGAACTCAGTGTTTTCTCGGTAACGTGTTGATTTTAGCAAACCTAACGAGACGACGCGAAGTGTCTTTGAGCCTCTCGAGTCTGCTGTTCGCCCAAACATCCGGTTTTTGTGTGGCAAACACCAGCCGAGTGCTAGCTTGTTAGCTTAGATGCTAAGTAAATTACCGAGAGGACAGCCGAGGAGCTGTTCACTGTCCTGTGCGTTTTGCAGCTGAGACAGGCTACTAGTCCGCTAGTCGTGGTGAATGCCGACGCTTGAAAGCCACGCTCAGAAACTTTATCAACCACTAACAGTGGCTTCTTAGCCTGCTAGCTAATAGTAACATTGTGGTTAATGTTGACCGCTAGCGCTTGCTAGCTACACCCTTTTTGGGGGGTGCTGACCACCAGCCGAAACCTCCGCTTCAGCCGAATGCGGCGAGCTCTGTAACGCGGGGGAGAGAGCAAATGTCGAGCGGCAGCCTGTATGAAAATTGATCTCCCGCTAGATTTGACATCCTAGTCCGGATTACCAATGAGTATCGATTGGCATTTCGCTGCTGTGTCAGCTGTAGCTGCACAAATGTCGGACTCGTTGAACTTGTCCCCACTGAAGGAAGTGCAGCATGTTTGTTCTTCAGGGGTCATTTATTCAACCGAATTGAGATAATTTTTTTATTTTTCAGTTTGTGGGTCGGAGTCTGCCCTGTAGGTCATATAGAAGTTTCCTCCTCTGCTCCACATACAGTCACAGCTGGAACAAAGGTTCCTACTGTTGATAATGTAACCCCACTGGGCATCCAAGGGCCTCTATTCAAATGGAAATGACCCTGCTGAGCAGACGCCTTGTCCCCCTGAGTCAAAACTGAGCAATAACACACACTAAAATTTGCTTTCCGTCAGACTAAATATTTCTTTGTGTGGTTTTCATGGAACATTGCAGCAGTGTACTGCAAAGGTATGATTGTGATGGATGTCTTTTCAAGCAAATGCCTGTCAGCACTGATGTGGTGAAGTGCTGTCTGAAAATGCACCCCACATGCTGTTTACTTACTGAGTCTTCCTCTCAGAGTGGATTTTAAGAAGGAAGGACGGGAATCAGACCAACGGATCTAGCACACTTCGTCACTTATCCCACTGTTTATACATTTCAGTTTGAGGTTATCTGCGCCTGACGTTATCACTGAGTCTCACTTAGCCACGTAGATCCGCAAAAGAACAGTTCACCGCTCCTTTTGTTTGAAATAATAACAAAGGACTGATGTCACTCTTGACATTCAAGAGTGACATCCGTGATCAAAATAGATTATGTCATTGTATCAACTGTAAGCGGGTATTTTATATACTACTAAGATTGGTAGATTAACTGATAACAAATCATTTTAATCAGAATCAGTTAAAACACTGCAGTCATCCGGGATTATAATAGATCGTGTCCTCTTATGATAAAGTTTACTGTAAGCGACTCTGGTAAAATAAGCTCTACAAAAAGTATGTTATCGTTAAGTGTTTCATCAGATGAGTTAAAATGAAAGCAAGCAGAGAAGGTATGTGTGTGTAAACTTGTATGCAACCAGAGGTTATTGCCCCTGACTGTGCCCCGCCTCCACAGGTATGAGTGGAATTCTAATTGGGTAAGGAATGTGCAATGAGCCAATGGGAGTGCAATGCTGCCAGGCTGGCCAGCTCTGTTTAGTCTGCCAGAAAGAGTTGGTTGTTTCCCCCCCTTAACATCAGTATATCTGAAAAGCGTGCACGTGTGTGTGTGTGCAGTAGGGACATAAGCATGTTTGACACTGGGTCAGATCTGAGAGACTTTGTTGTGTTGTGTCTTCCTGTGTTCGTTATCTTTTTCTTAAGCTTAAGTATTGCTTTGAGTAACATGGCAGACCTAAGTAAGTCAAATACTTAATGAAAACGGGGGGAAAATGTAAACTATTTTGAAACTTGTGTAATGCGGTATAGACATTTGTTCAGGAAGCAAAAGGATACTGGTTGAATTCCAGCCAGAGACACACGAATCCCTGGGGTTGCATTATGTTGGGCATCTGGCATAAAACTCTACCAAATCAACCCAGTGCATCCACCGCTTGTGAGAAGGGAACAGTCAGAAGTAGCTTCTGTATTGAAACCAATGTATAACCAAATTATTTATGTCATACAGAGTGTTAAATATTTTGAAAAAAGCACCAAATGTTTGATCATACGCCAATTTTGTGAGTTTTGATACCAAAAACTTGCAACTGCAGTAATATTTAAAATAAATAAATAAATAAAATAACTAGCTGTAGTGTATCTCTGGTTTTTGAGCTTGTGAAACATAACATTTGAATGCAAAAATATGGTCAAGGTAAGATGCAGAGCATAAGTAGGTCAAAAATGGTGGAGAAAAGGGTGTTTTTGTTTGTAAGTGAATGGTGTTTTATTGTGGAAAATGCCATGAAAGGAATTAAAGAATCAGTCATTTAGTAGGATAAAGTTAGTGGACGCAACACGTGCCGCTCAGGTTTTGGTGCCAGTCTGTCGGCTTGAGCGCTTAACTTGCCTGAGCTGCAATACAGGGCAGTGTCAGGACAAGAGGTTACTTGAGAGGGAAGGGGTGAAGGAGCTGAAAAGAGGAGGACAGAAGTGTGAGGGGATGAGGAACAATCAAAGAAAAGGAGAAAAAAGCAGTGAAATAAAAGTGAGTGTTTGTGTGATGGATACAACAGAGGAGAGAAGGGGGGAGTCAGATTCATGCTTACTTAGGAAGCAGCATAAGCATTTCTAATCCCTTCACTTACTAAGCTTGCAGTATGTGCAGAAACACATTTACAGAAAAGCATGCAAAACAGGATGTAGAAACATGGATGAAGAGGTTAAAGAGCCTCAGCGTCCACTTATTCTTCATTACAGAACCATTGTCTGGGTGTTTGTGCAAGCCCTTCTGTTGTCCTGCGTCTGTGTACTGCAGGCTACTTGTTATTGAGCAGGTGTGATATTTGCTCACATGTCCACCAACCGCTGCTTTGTTTTTGTTGCCGAAAGAAGAAGGTCATACAGGAAATGACATCATCATAAGCTCACGAGTTGTTCTGCTTGTAAGGCTGCGGGCGCTTGCTGAGACAAGAAAGTCTAGACCGCTCGAAGTTTGTCAGCATTCATCATGTTTTTTTGACTCGAGCTGTGATCAAAGTGCAAAGATATTGCACTACCTTGGCTTCGTTACCGGAACACTCGGCCATTAATGGTGATTTAGGAAGCTTTAATTAGGCGCTGCAGTTGTGCATTTCTGGTCATTATCCAAAGAATATCTGGTGTCAAAGAGGTGTAGAGCAAGTTTGCTAACGTCTGTAGGAGATGGTTGATGTGATTTTTTTTTTTATATTCCTTATGTAGCTGACTGACTGGTGCAAAAGAAGCTCACTTTTTCTTCACCTCTCTCAAACTGTTTCTACTTGTCCCATCAAGATTGGATGAATAGAACCCCCGCCATCACTACCCCACTGACGGTCTAGCTTTTTCATACTTCTTTTTTTTTTTAAACAGAAAGGCAGTAAATGCAAATAAAAAGAAAGGGAAATGACAGTGGGGAAAGAAACTGAGAACCAGCTGAGCTGTTAGGCTGTAAGCTCTGTGTGTTTTTTACCAGCCATGACCTTCGCAGAATGAGGAATTTCCTGAGATGCTGAGAAAGGTCCTGTCACACATTCAGGGCCACAGAAGAGCAAGTCAGAAAACACATTGTGGGAAGAATTGGTGAATAGCACAGCAGGGACAGCGACAGAGGCTTCCTTTACTTCCAGTCTGAAATAGGTGGCAGACTTTAGAAACTCGATTCCCTCCCTCTCCTCACACACTGCGTTTCTTTCATTACGTCTGTAGAAAAGATGAAGTCTCAGTGTGGAATGTGTGAGTCAGGAGGAAAGGATTGGAAGAGGTTGACAGGGAACGGGGAAGGATATCCTGAAGCCATTCTCCATTGGTTAATCACAGGAAATGGACTAGGCAACACCAGACACGTACGTGCCACTCTGGTCACCACATCCTAAACCACTGACTCCCTGACTAACTTCCTAGATAGCTGTCTGGGCCAAACCGAATCAAAAGGCAGTTTAGGTGTGTGGCAGATCAGTTAAGATCTAAGGTTGTTTTCCCCTGACGGTACCAGCAGTACTTAACTCTGAAATGTTCCCAGTGTCTCACCAGCATTGTTCAGTTAGTGTAGATTGGATTGGACTTTTGAGATTATCTTTATTAATATGCAGAATACTTTTTTAAATCAGCTTCTAAAGAATTAATTACACTGATCTTGTCCAGTGCCTGGGGTAATAAATGAAAATATTGCTTTATCAGGTCAGCAGTGTGAAGCTCAAAGATTAAATCTATTAATGGACACAAAACAAGAAAAGCACCAAATTTACATGTTGAGGAACACAAATATTTGGTCATTTGGGGAAAAAAAAGAAGGGCAAATAATTAAGGGATCATCAAAGTAGATTAAGTGCAGAGTCAGCTTATTTCAACTTGCCATGAAAGGTAATTTAAAGTTGCGGTAGATGTGTAATGAAGGCCACAAAATCCTTCAGATGTGTGGGATGACTCTCCTACCCACTTCATGCACTCATTGCTCCCCTGCCAAGCTCCATGCAGGTGATTGATTGGGTTACACATTCTAACTCAGATCTGATTTTGACCCCCCACCCCACCCCAATTCATTTTAATATGAAAATGAACAACAGCGAGATGAAGCCACATTATTTTTCTAAGGTTCTGTCAGGCTGACTTGTTTTTGGCTACAGAGCAGGCCGTTTATCTTAATTACTTGTCATGTCAAACAGTTTGAGCTGAAACTAGCACAAGAACTCATAAATACTTTCTGGCGACCTTTATGTTGGTCCATAGTGGTGTATTTTTAATATTTAAAGAATAATCAAAAAATAAATAAATTGCTGACATTGCAGTCCAGCTCAAGAAATGTGCTGTTCACGTTAGATTTTGCCTTTACTTCCTTAAAATATCAGTGTGACTGTGAATCACTAGACTCACACTGATATTCTGCAGTAACACAGGAGTAAATGTGCAACATGACAACAACGGAAATCATACTTTATCCACACATAACCTATATGTTGTCAATAACCCAGTACAGTGGCTTAACTGTGGTTTTTTTCTGCATTGACAGCGGAGGCTAGAGGCATTGGGACTGCTGTGTTTGCCTGCACGTAGTCACTTTCACTCAAGCTGTTAGTTGTTAGTTGTAGCTGTTAGTTAGTGCAGCTTTAGTGATTTCCACTCTTCAGTGCCTTCCAAAGCAAACGATTACTAATTATGGCAGAAAGTGCTGTTTGTGCATTTGTGCTGTTGCCCACGTAGTCATGACACGGAGTGTGTGGATTCTTCTCTTCCTAAAAACTAAAGTTAAAAATGACTAAAACTAAGTTTAGATCTGCCGTCGTCTGTGACGGGATGAGAAGCCAGAAATACTACAGTGTCTTCTGGACGCCGATGGTGACTAAATGAAGCTAGCCCAATACATTCTTCTTTTTTTTAACCTTTAGAAATGTTAGCGCACCAGAAGAAGATGATAATCTAATCTTAAGCATACTGGCTGTTATGACATGATGAAATAAGAGATGAAACATCAGGACAGTTAACTAAAAAAAGCAGAACTTTGAAGCTCCTTTTTAATGCACGGTGATCAGCGGATCTTTACAGATACGTGTGTCGAACAGCAAACACAAAGCTCACATGCAGTCAGAACAAAAACCTTACTGTTTCTTTACAAAGCAGAGCTCACAGGTATACACCCTACACTTTACTTACCAGCCCAAATAAAAACACTGCATATAAATTTGACAAAGGCCCGGTGGACTTGAAGTGTAAACATTATCCGTGTTGATTACAGCTTACCTTTTGAATTGCATTGCATCAGCTGTGAAAACCAACATGCAGCTTGTTTTTGTTCTGCCCTGAAACAAACACTTGAGTGTATTTCTAAAAAAAAAATAAATAAATAGCTGTAAAGTTGTTGATCTCTTGTGTTTTCAGTGTTAGAGGAGAGCTAGCCTAGGGTGTCATATGCCAGCTGTCTGGGGAAACAAATAACCAGACTTTGTGTACACCCACGTACACGATAAACAACAGTTTGCACACACTTACAAATTCTCAGAGTCTTGGTCAGATTGAGCTTTGCTCTCTGACTCTACAAAGATGGTGTGGGTATAGAAAGTGGTCTCCTGCTTTTTACGTGGGTGGTCTTTCAGCGTGTGTCTGTCTTTGTGCGTTTTGCCTGACACTAGCCTGTACTTCTCTGTCCGTGTCATATCCACTTTCATGACCGTCCTCTGGTATTCATACATTTATCCTGACCCACATTCTTTCCCCTCAGATGCGTCCACTGTGTCAGCCCACGTGCTGTGATATTACATATATTTGTGTAATTTTTTTCTCCTTTCTCTTGCAGTATTATGTGCCAAGAACCTCGCAAAGAAAGACTTCTTTCGTAAGTACTTTGATTGTGATCTTTTTCACATGCATATTTCTGGCATTATAAAGAGCCCGTGTGACATAGGAGCGACTGTGAAAACAGAGTGCCATTGATGTTGCTCATTTGCTGTTCTGAGGGATAACTGTTGACCTGTGGTAGCGCTGGAATACAACAATGACCCTGACTGTCACCCCACAATCAGGGGTTTGTTTAAGGCTGCAAAGCTTCTCCGAGTGTGCCCAGTTTTGTTCTTGGTCAGAATTTGTTAAAGGCTGCCTGGATTAGAGTCTTCATTTCCTGTCAGATTAGATGGTGAATCTCAAGTACTGTTAATAAGAATGGCAAACAAACTGAATTTCCTGTTTGTTTTTAAACTGCAGGCCAGTATTAGTCTAGATACAAATACAACAACTCCATTTATGTTAAATGTTTTATCATGGAGACCATGTTTATGAGAAGCACCTAAGCCACTTTGGATTTTGAGAGACTTTATGGGCAACGGATTTTTAATTACAAGTTTTTGTGTGCAGGTCTGCCAGATCCTTTTGCCAAAGTCGTGGTGGACGGATCAGGTCAATGCCACTCTACAGACACAGTAAAGAGCACACTGGACCCCAAATGGAATCAGCACTATGACCTGTGAGTCTCCTCCACAGCACTAAAAACAAATCTACTATACGTTTACAGTAAAGTAATTTCTGCTCAGGTATAGATATTTAAAATGAATGATAATTAGTTTAACATAGCCATCCATCCATTTTCTACCACTTGTCTGTGTTCAGATCACGGAGGCAGCAGTACTCTGTCGTGCTTTTTAAACAGACTAAAATAAAACAACAGTTTTTGACAGATGTGGTGGTGTTGTCTGAGTGGCGACACCTATCATTCATGAAAAGACATTGGCAGCTGCCTGTGCCTTATCACAGGGCATGAGTAGAAGTGACTTTTAAAGACATTACTGGCAGCACACAAAGCGATAAACGCACCAGGTATACTGGGGACTCAAACAGAGAGTCCCTTGCCCCGGCCACCTCTTCCCAGTCATCACCAGGCGACACTGAGTTATTCCTAAGCCAGCAGGTTGGAGCCAGCAAGTTCTGGGTCTAACCTGAGGCCTGGTGTGCAGGATGCATCCTTTTCAGATGCCCGAACGATTTCTTTCGATGTGAAATAGCAGTGGCGCTGTTCTGAATCCCTCTCAAATGACTCAACTCCTCACCCTGTCTCTAAAGCCTGCAAAGCCTGTGTCTCTGTTGGGGACACGGACTGCTGGAGACCCTACAGCCAAATATTCATTCCTGTTATACTTCTTTGAAGTACGCTGCCTTGATGGGATGCGTCATTGGTGGATTGTAATGTAAATTCTCTGCAGATGAATCTGTGCGGTTACAAAAAACAGGCAGGTACGTGGCTGCCTGAGCTGACCCTCACACTGACTGTCTGATGATGAGTTTGACGTCACTGGGACCCAAACAGACCCTAGCAAACTCACAGACACAGAAAATATGAAATCTGTTTAAGTGAGAGGCTAGCCACCCTTCGACGGAAACTAATTTCTGCTACTGGTGTCCGCCACCTCATTCCTTCGGTCACTACCAAGAGCTCATGACCATAGGTGAAGGTGGGGGCATAGGTCAACCAGTTAATCAACAGATTCAGTTTTAAGCTCAGCTCTCTCTTCATCACCACAGATCAGTACAGCATCTGCCCCCAATCCCTGCGTCAGTCTCACAGCTCTGGCTCTCTTCCACAGCATGTCCTTTATCCTGTCTTCCTTCTCTCACCTTAACCGGTCGCAGCAGATGGCCCCGTCCCTCCCTGAGCCTGGTTCTGCTGCAGGTTTATTCCTGTTAAAAGGGAGTTTTTGCTTCCCACTGTTGCCAAAGTGCTTGCTCATAGGGGGTTATATGATTGTTGGGTTTTTCTCTGTATGTAATATCATAGGGTCTACCTTGCAATTTAAAGTGCCTTGAGGCGACTGTTCTAGTGATTTGGAGCTGTATAAATAAAATTGAATTGAATTGAGCTTGTGAAGACCTCAAGACACTTAAACTCCTCCACTTTTGGCAGCAATTTAATTGATTTATCATTTTAATTGATTTTCAGTTATATGTAAATGTAACAACTCATTAAAGATGCAGAAGATCTACAGATGTTGATTGTTTCATTCATTCAGATCTTTGACCTTTAAAATGGCTCGCCTTCAAAAGCTGGATTAAAGAGACCTGTTGCACTTGTCACTTGTTTTTTCTTTTAGCTACATTGGTAAAACAGACTCCATCACTATCAGTATATGGAACCACAAGAAGATCCATAAACGACAGGGGGCAGGTTTTCTGGGCTGCATACGACTGCTTTCTAATGCCATCAGCAGGCTAAAAGACACAGGATGTAAGGCCGTCGCCTTTATCAACTGCTCTGATTTTAAATACACACATTTTCACAGCATTTATTTAGTGCTGCTCTGTGAAGAAAATAAAAGTGTATTTGCTTCCTGTTTCAGACCAGCGTCTAGATCTATGTAAGCTGAACCCCTCTGACAGTGATGCAGTGCGGGGGCAGATTGTAGGTAAGGCTGGACAGCGATGTACAGATTAGTCATATTGTTGCTTTTCTTTCACTGTGTGCACGTTCTGCACTCCCCCCTCTAACACGGCGTCAACTCTCTGACCTGTCCGTCCTCCTTGTTTACAGTGAGCCTGCAAACACGAGACCGCATTGGCAGCGGAGGCCCTGTTGTGGACTGTAGAGGACTGTTAGAAAATGATGGGTGAGTGTCACCAGATGTTAACCCTGCTAATATCACACCCTAACTTTTAAATACAAGACTGTTGTTTGGATCTCATGTGATGTTACACAACAACCTGTTTTAGGTCAGAGGATTATTTTAGTTCTATTTGTTAAGTATTTGTCCCTCCTGCTGTCTTTGTTGCGCTGAGTTTTAAATAAAAAGCAGTTGACCCGTCATGTGATTCCAGTGTGTTTTTCTTTGTGCGTTTGTGTGTAGGCCTGTGTTTGAGGGGTGTTTCAGTGAAGAACCGCTGCCCTACTCCGACTCCACCGGTGCCGCGGGAGGCGGGAACTGTCGGCTCGACTCTCCCAGTCAGGAGAGCCGTCTTCAGACCCAGCGAATCAGAGGGCAGGACTCCAGAGGTCATGGCCACACCCCTCAGAACAGACCGCATGGGCACCAACCGCCTGACCTGCCAGAGGGATACGGTCAGTGATGAACTCCTGTTGTGGCTATAGATGTTTGTTTAACCTAAACCTCACATAGTCCATTTAATGGCTTTCTTTTCTTGTTAAAACAGAGCAGCGAACAACAGTGCAGGGCCAGGTGTACTTCCTCCACACACAGACAGGCGTCAGCACCTGGCATGACCCCCGGATACCACGGTATGACTATGCTGCACTTCATTTAGTCCAAGCATAACTGGAAAAGAGGTGAAAGCCCACAAAGAGACTTAGCCACTGCATCTGCAGACAGACTTAACACATTAAAGTACTCGACTCTCAGGGTTATACTTAGGATTGTATGAAATGTTTCTAAAGGCTTAACGAGAAAAGTCTGTTTCTGTAAGTGAGTGCATTCACATGTAGGTTTACATGTAATTTAAACTTTTCTTTGCATGTTAAGAGGGAGTTCCTACTTTTGCTGAGTGCATGCTCATAGAGGACCATCAGATAGTTGGGATTATAACTCTAATCTTGTACCTATTCTAAACTAGAGTGATATGGTTGACTTGTTAATACACTAAAATTAATGTTTTAAGCATTTGATTTATACACTCAGGCTAACATTTTAGGCCTTATCTACATCTTATATCATACTTTATCTACAAGTTATACTTTGTGTAGATACATCTTGTTTTATGATCTCATAATTTGTGCTAATGGCTGACTGTGGCAGTTTTACACCACTTACAATTCTTAATTAGTAAGATTTATGGATGGTTTTGAGAGTACAAACTGCCCCCGGTCATAAAAATGTCAGCAATATTAATTACTGCTAACTATAAATCTGTCATAACAGGCCATTACTTCTGACCCTATATGCTGACCTTAATCATAAACATGTCAAAATGACTGTGTTTTAAAGTTTATGATTCAAGGGTTATGTAAAGAGTGCCAAAAAATGATGAAATTCAAGTGTTTTGTTTCACACTGAAGAAAAATGCAAAATCTGTTATGGTGAGGTACTGATCACAGTAAACATGTGCAAGCATTTCTTCAACAAATGTTTTGGTTTTAATAATGTTTGCGGCCCAAAGAGGTTTAACAGTTTCTTCAAATTTGTGACCCAACACTAAATACACAGTTCGACCCTGTAATGAGCAGCGATATTTAAAAGAAATGCACAAACACTTTGATCCATTTGTCTTTAGAGCATGCCCGGTGTTTTTTTTTATGCTCTTATTCAGCAGCAGATAAATAAAATAACTCTTAGTAGCTTTTCATGGGCCTTTGGGGTCCAAGTTTAGTTCAGTATGAGGATTATACTACTTAGTATGCATGTTCAGAACAGGTGGAAATGTGGTGCTCTGTCTCACTGTGTTTATGTGTTACTGGTGCAGGGATTTGGCCAGCGTGAGCTGTGAGGAACTCGGGCCTTTACCTGTAGGCTGGGAGGTCCGAAGCACCGTGTCTGGCCGGATCTACTTTGTGGACCACAACAACCGAACCACACAGTTCACAGACCCGCGCCTACACAACATTATCAGGTAAAGCTTGGACCAATCTAATCTGCCACCGACCTACTAACGCTGCTGACTTGTGTGATATACAGAAACATGAGCTTATGGTAGATTTCACTGCTTATGCTGAATGGGACTGTGTGTAATCCTGTGCGTATCGTTCTTCCACAACCTTATATTTCCCTTCTGTTCTTCTCCTCTACTTCTTCCCACCTCCAGTCAGCAATCACAAGTGAAGGAATCTTCCCAGGCCCCCCAGATGGATGTGGGGGGTGAGGAGGGGGTCGGTGGAGGAGTAAGTGGCGGCGGCGGAGGAGGAGGGGATGGAGATGTGGCAGCGCGATACGAAAGAGATTTAGTGCACAAGTTAAAGCTGCTCCGCCACGAGCTGTCGCTGCAGCAGCCTCAAGCGGGACACTGTCGTATAGAGGTGTCCCGAGAGGAGATCTTTGAGGTGAGTGCAGGTGGAAGCGGTGGAAACACAGACGCACTGGCTGTGAATATTAAATAACCGATTAACAAAAGAAAACTGATCTAAACCTGATAGCCTGTAATTAAAGCTGTGTGCGTTATACAGGAGTCATACCGGCAGATAATGAAGATGAGGCCCAAAGACTTGAAGAAACGGCTAATGGTGAAGTTCAGGGGAGAGGAAGGACTCGATTATGGTGGAGTGGCCAGGTAATTTGCTGCACGGTGCTTTTATCATCCTATCATCCAAGTACCAGCGCTAAGTACGCGGTGACAGCTCTTTTAATGCCTGCGCTTAAATGTTAAATGTTACTGCAGTGTTTCCCACCGAGGATTTACAGGTAGTAAGGGGTAGTCTGACATACAGCTGTGAACTTAAGTACTATATAATTTATAAATTTACCACATGTTTTGAAAAAGTGCTACATCAACTGCTTGTACAAAAGACTGGATACAAAGACAGGATCTTGTATTTGATTGTTTTTACTAAAGTCTTGGTGCTGCTTCATCTTTCTGATCATTGTGGTGTCTGTCTGCAGGGAGTGGTTGTACCTGCTGTGTCACGAGATGTTAAACCCCTATTACGGCCTGTTCCAGTACTCCACAGACAATATCTACACACTACAGATCAACCCAGACTCCTCCATCAATCCTGTGAGTACACACAAGTAACCCCACATAACGAATAATGCTAATAAGTCCCGACTGTGTGTCTTACACTGTCTTTCTTTTAAGGACCACCTGTCATATTTCCACTTTGTGGGTCGTGTGATGGGCCTGGCAGTTTTTCACGGTCACTACATCAACGGGAGCTTCACGTTGCCCTTTTACAAACAGCTGCTTGGCAAACCCATCCAACTCAACGACCTGGAGACCACCGACCCCGAGTTGCACAAGAGCCTCGTCTGGATATTGTGAGCAAAAGCACCAATAAATGAATCCTCTCAGCCTGGCACAGGCAGACTGATTAGTTTGTGTCCTGCGTGCTTGTCTACATAGTTTCCGTTTCAGCTTTTATTTTGATGTGTTGTGTGCAGGGAGAATGACATCACTTCAGTACTCGATCACACGTTCTGTGTAGAGCACAATGCCTTTGGGAAGTTCTCACAACATGAACTCAAGCCTAATGGTCGTAATGTCCCCGTCACTGAGGAGAACAAGAAGGAATATGTAAGGTAAATAACTCCACAGTAGTACTCTAAACTCTGTCGGATACAGAGTGTAAACATAACTTGCAAACATCAGACGTTTACTTATTTTTTATTTTATTTTATTCATTTCAGACTTTATGTGAACTGGAGGTTTATGCGTGGAATTGAAGCCCAGTTTCTGGCTCTGCAGAAGGGGTTCAGTGAGCTCATCCCACAGCACCTCCTCAAACCCTTTGACCATAAAGAACTTGAGGTACGCGTTTAATACGTCAACAATATATTAGTACTTATTAAATATTTATATGACTTTTACCATATCTGCATGTTGGATTGGTAGTTTAGATTAATTTTCTTCTTCTAATCTATTATCTAATTCATTATATCCTTCTCAAACCCCTACCCACCACCCCGTCTCTAAATCTCTTCAGTTGATCATTGGTGGACTAGGAAAAATAGACCTTGCAGACTGGAAGACTAACACCCGTCTGAAACACTGCACAAGTGAAAGCAATGTGGTGCGGTGGTTCTGGCAAGCAGTGGAGGCTTTCAGTGAGGAGAGGAGAGGACGCCTCCTGCAGTTTGTCACAGGCTCCACCAGGGTCCCCCTACAGGGATTCAAAGCGCTGCAGGGTGGGTCATGCACTGGTACAAACACAACATACACCTTTTGGTTACACTTTGCTTCTGCTATTCCTTTGATGGTAGCATTTAGTTGACTTTTTCAACACATAACTCATATACAAGGCCTTTAAATGCAAACATTTTAACCCAAATTAGAACAATATTAGCTTCATGTGAGAATGGTTAGATGCATGTTTCAGTCTGAAACCCATTAAAGAGTGTTGAGAGCTTTTTCTATTTAAAGTCTTTTCTGTGTACCAGAGCAGTGATAACTAGAATGTATGTGTGTAAGGCTCTACAGGTTCTGCAGGACCAAGACTCTTCACCATCCACTTGATAGATGCTAACACAGAAAACTTGCCCAAGGCTCACACGTGGTAAGAACCGATTTCTCTTAGTGTGTCTATAATTGTGTCAATATTTTTTTTTTTTTAGGTAAGTAATTCACTCTTTTCTGCCTCCAGTTTCAACAGGATAGACATCCCTCCCTATGAGTCTTACGAGAAGCTTTACGAGAAACTGCTGACTGCTGTGGAGGAGACCTGCGGCTTTGCTGTGGAGTGATGAATCTGCGCACACTTGGCCCTTGCACGTGCACACAGACTATGTGACATTTTACATATATGCACACACACACAAACCGAATATCAAGTATACACCAAGTATACAGAGCAGCCAAGCATCACAAGAACACACTCACTCTCCTGCCACCCCTTCACCTCCCGAACCTGTTGGAGGTTAAAGGAGGAAGCACAGCAAGAGGAGAACATTTAAAAAAAAAAAAAAAGAACTAAAGATTTTTTCAAATGTTTTGAAGAAGCATTTTTATCCTTCTGTTTTAACAAGCTATGATGTCATCCTTCAGAATGTTTAACCACCGCAGCGAAGTCTCGGGACGGATTCAGCCAATCGCATACGAAGCCGGGAACATAGAAATCAGATTTGTGAAGAAGACGACGAAACAAAAAAAAAGAAAAAAGACAGAGCCTGTTTGTCTTTCTGCCTGACGAGTCGATTGATTGACTAGTATTCATGCTTCGTGTTTAACCACTGTCGTGTCTCAGAATGAGCGCATGTATGTACACGTGTTTGTCTGGGTGTGTGTGCATGTGAGAGAGTGCAGATCTATGTGTCTGCGTGTTTTTGTGTTTGTGTCAGGCATGACACTCGGTTACGCTGTAAAAATGATCAAATGAGCCTGCTCCTCTTTTTCTTTTTTTTTTAAATCTTAATTCCTTTGTTTGTATCTGCGACCACTCTGATCCACTCTATTTTATTATTTATTACTAAGTGATTACTGACCAAGCTGCTATATGCTCTGCGTGGAGCCCACACTAATGTCCTCATCACCCCCTCCCCCATAGTTGAAGGGTCAATTCACATGCAAGTAACCCACAAAGTGGGTTCTATTGAATTTTGTTACATTTTTTTAACATTCGTATTACTGCAGAGAAATACTCCTTGTCATTGTATGAAACCTGCTAGTGTTTTTGGTGTTTTAAATGCCCTGTTACATCTGTTAAAAATGAAATCAAAGTGGCTTTCCCAAGCCTTGATTTAAAAAAAATTCTAACTCTACTGATGTTATGGAGAGGTCATCTGGATTTGTTTTTTTAAACCGAGGATTGAAAGAACGTGTTTCTGGAATTCTGTATAGTTACATCTCCTAAGCCTTTTATACAAGTTTTAGCCCTCATTTTACCTGCTTTTTTTTGTGGCCCTGATCCCCGCCCCTTTTTCTCTCCATAGCCTGAATGTTGGCAAGAAGTCATCTTCAAGACCACCATGAATGAGTTTCTTAACAGTCATTAATGCTCCAAATTGAACGAAATCAGAAGCTTAGAAGTTGAGCAAACAACATAGAAAGTTCTGTTTTAAATTGAAGACTGTTAATAAGCAGGACCATTTCAGTCTGTATTATCAAGGGTATGAGTTCACTGTGTAATGGATGCAGAAGTATTGTAACTTACTATGTACTAAACATTTATGAAAAATGCGTTGTAAATAAGATTATATTAAAAGAAATTACATTGAAAATACATTGCTTGTGTCTTGTGTCTCTATGTCGACACTTATGGGTCTAATTAAACCAAACACATTTATTATATGTATTCTTAAGCAGGTTTCCATCACTTCAAACATTAACATTAATGAGAGCATGTAAAGCAAAAGAGACCTACTTTGCTCTTGGACTTTGCACGAATCACACAAATCGATTCAAAATGATTAATATTTGCAGTAAAGTTTAAGTATTTGGACATTTTTGCCTCTGTACACTACCACAGTGGATTTTAAAGGAACTGTGATTGAAGTGCACACTTTCAGCTTGAATTCAATGGGTTTAACAACTGTTTAGGAATTCGGGCCATTTTTATGCACAGTGCCCCCCATTTACAGAGGCTCTGAAGTAATTGGGCAATTGACTGACAAACATTTTTACAGTCTGGTGAGGCCTGTTCCCATGGTATTCCATAACAGCCGAAACACAGAAGTATCAGGAGTTGATTCCAAGTGTTGGATTTTGTAACAAACAAATGTGGATGCAAATTAAGGAGACCTTCATTAGACTGCAAAAATAAAACCGCAGAGAGAGAGCGCAAATCAACAATCTGGTTCATTTGTAAAAGACAGAATGTCTTTTACAAATGAACCAGATTGTTTTACAAATGAACCAGTCCTGACCTGCTCAACAACACAGAAGGTAACTCCCAAGGTTAAGAAAAGCAGATTACCTGTTCCAGGGTGTTCTCGACATGTAACAAACCCGAGAACACCCTGGAAGAGGTAGGCATATCATTATCAAAGTCTACAATCAAGAAGCACCTTCATGAATGAAATTTCAAAACAAGGTGCAAACTGTTATTCATGAATAAGGCCAGATTAGACTTTGCGAGAAAACATCTAAAAGAGCCTCTGCATCTCTGTAAAATAACAAAATAAGTTCTATGGACAGATGAAACCCGGATGAACTTTTACCAGAATGATGAGAAAAGTCTGGAGATGAAAAGAAACGGCTCATGATCTGAAACATACCACATCATCATGTCAAACATGGTGGAGGTATGGCTGCCATACAGTGTTTATTGATGATGTGACTGCTGATAGAAGCAGCAGGATGAATTGTGAAGTGTATAGGGCTATACTGTCTGCTCAGATTCAGCTAAATCCTGCAAGACAGAGCTTCACGTTGCAAATGGATAATGACCCAAAGCAAACTGTAAAAAAATAACCCAAGAGGCAAAGAAATTGGAGATTCTTCAGTGGCTGAGTCAGTCATCTGAAACAGAGTATTTAGTGCAGTCTGTGGGATAACTTGGACAGACACTGAACTGTTTATTTATGATTATTTAATTCATTTATTTAATTCATCATTGCAATAGAATCCTATAAATGTTAGGAAAACGTGAAAAGCATAGCTGGTTTCCTTTAAAATAGCTTATAGCGTTACAGAGCATTTAAAAATACAGATTTGATAGTTACATATGATTTTCATATTCAAAGTCATTTTAAGTATATTATTTTGATCTTTTGTTTGAGTATGGCTTTCTTTAATCCTAACTAAAAGAGAGAGAGAGCTAATAGTTCAAAGTTTTTCTGCTTCTTGTTTAAGGAGCCCTACATATAAATACAATACCTCAGGCAGTAGATAACTTGTATTTCGCGACAGAATGGGTACGTTTGTATCTTGGACTTAACGCTTGGTGTGGGTGGGACTACATTTCCCACAGGCCGTCTGAACGTGGTGACTGGGTGTTTTAACGTCGTGACGTTTCTGCTGTTCTTGTTTTGGCAGTTTGTTTCGTTATTCACGGTTTGTCACTTGACCAAGAAGACGTATTGTACTCATGAACCAAGACGGAGCTGCGGTATAGTACTTTTCTACATAGATATTCTCGTGTTGTGACTTCGAGCCGTGTGGGGACTGTTTGAAGCGGTTCTGTGGACAGGAAGCCTCGCACAAGTCAGCTAACTAGTCTGGCTAGCTAGCCAGCCAAGCTAACGAATGCTAGCTTGGCTAAGAGCAGTTTGTTCTGTTTGTGTCAGCGGAAATGATCGATAGCCATGACGGGATGCTTGTTTTCAAACACCGCCTTAAACTTGATGCTAAAAGGGCCATGTTAAACCTAATGTCACGGCGGGGAAAGCGGTGCAAGTGCGGGGGACGACTGCGGGGGACGAGTACAGGCAGCTTCTCGCTGGGTTAGCGTGTCCTGTTTTAACAACACAAGATTTGTGCCACCTTTGATCAGATCGAGGACGATCAGAGCTGCGCCCGCAAGTAAAGCCGATACAGGTCGTTAGCACATATTTGTTTACACGACTGTGCTGGCGAACACATCAGTGGTAGCGCTAATGTTATTCGTCGGTGGTGATTTAAATGAGCCCAACTCCGCATTCTGTTTCCCCGTGGAGCTTCCGTCTTTGTTGAGTTCTCTTTAGTAACGTGTTTGGGGGAGTCACTAACGTGCTTCTGAGTCTTTAGTAGTCTGTGCGATTAGATTAGTTGTGTTCTCAGGGTGGAGTCCAGCTCTCCTCGTTTTCTGTAAATGTGACAGATGTTAAACTGAAACCATTTGCTGGATTCCAGGGGAATACCAGCAGGGTGATAGTGTTGTTGTGCGCGTGTCATACATAGACATTCTAACGATAGAAATTAATGGTTATAAAAAGTCACATTGAAGGGACTTGCCTCCTTTTTACGAGAAAAATAAAATAAAACAAGTTCCCATAACACGAATCTATTTTCGTTTGAACAGTTTGTTTGTGGTAAGGGTTTAAAAGGCAGTGATTATGGTTATGGTAAATCTCCAGGAAAGTAATGCGTGTGTATGTAATGTCCTCTGATGGAAACATAACTCTCTGTATGTGTGTGTCTGTGTGTGTGGGTGTAGATGTTACTGATTGAGCAGTGATTGTGTATGTGGGCTGATTCAGGGAGCTGCTAAGTGTAGTTTCACAATGGCAGATGGAGGCAGCGATGATGAGGTCATTCACCTGGCAAGCTTCAACGTCCACCGCAGCCAAGGTGAGACTTCACATCCGCACCGGCATGCATGTAGACACAATTGTCTGTCTCCAGGATATATGATTATTGTTTTTATGCATCTATCCATTTGCTTGCTTCCACTTGTCCAAGTTAGGGTCATGGAAAGGGCTAGAGCCTTTCGCATCTGTGGCAAGGTACACCCTGGAACGGTCACCAGTTTGTTGCAGAGCTAACACATAGAGGCAGACAACCATTCACACTAACACTCCAATTCAACTCCTTCCGTAAATCTCAACCAGAAGTCTAAATGAAGCTTTATGGTCAATTTAGAATTGTAAGTCAGCCTTGCTACACCAGCTGGAGTACACAGAGAGAAGTCACAGACATGCATAGTACATGCATTTGTTGTAACAGTGTAAAAAGTGCAACAGATGCTCCATAACTACATAAAAAAATAATTTGCTGATCTAATAAACCCATCACCACCTTTATAAACTTCAGGTTAGTAACAGTATGTTAATAAAAACCTAAAAACAATTATCAAAATGTGCTCCAATAGCTTGCCTTGCAGAGCTTCACGTTTTAAGATGTAAATGTTCTGCTTATGCTCTGAGAGGTCCAGCCACTTTCTTATATATGACCTGTTGCACACACGCATATAAACCTCGTGTTTTGTACTTTTTAGGAGGAAGTGCAAAAGTGCAGATTATTTTCAGCACTTCAGCTAGTTGTCTGATGAACTAACCGTTTCTGCAAAGAAATTCAGCATTGGCTCATGTTGCAATCGCTCATCTGTTTTGTCTTAAATTTCCACACGATGCAGTGAATGTCCCTTTTTACATCCCCTGTAAATGCATCGTTTAATAACTCTGCTGTGCGTGTGTCTGTGCAGGCTCGCGCTCTCATTTGAGAGAGCTCATAACTATTTCTGATGACTCGGATGAAGAGCCTGTGACTCTTGTACCCAGCAGTCCCGTTTTAGTCCCGGACGATGCAGATGACGACGATGTCAGCATACTGGAGGTAACTGATGCAGATTATTCTTGAAGCTTTCTTCGTGTATGTCACTTGAGACTTATTTATATATGTTTGAATACATTTTTCTGGGATTCTTTCTGCTCTCTCTTCAGCCGCTAATGCCTGCGCGCAGACACGTGATCCGCCCAGCGGCGAAATGGAGCGGGGCGTCGCACAACCCAATTAAAGTTGTAGGTCAAAGTAGCGCATCTTCTGGGGTTTCCACACTGGACCCAGTCCCTGCCTGTGCCCCCTCTACCTCCAGAGATGCCAAGGGAACCACGTCTCCCCAAGCAGCCATTAAAGTACAGTTTCCGGCGCACTCGAGCACATCTGGAAACACACTGCTGGATCTCGGCCCTTCATCACTCTCCCAGCCAAAACCGACCATAAACTCACAGCAGCACGACGGTACATCAGCAGACACAAGCGGGGAGCTCCATGCAATTTCTTCTGTCCACACCCCATCTACCTCCACAAATGCCAAGGCCAACACCATCTCATCCAGAATATCTGCACAAGTACCTGAACAAGTGCTTGTCCAGCCTCAGCCTAGCACATCTGGACTCGCGCATCCACAACCTGGCTCCTCAGCACAGTTACGGTTGGAGCATCACGCGAACTCCTCTGCCAGTGCCACAAACTATATTTGTGCTGCTGCAGTGACTGCTTCAAGTTCTTCTACAAAGACTCAAGTAAAGGCTAGCACGAGTAGCCTTACGCAAGACAATCCTCAGGCCAGTACTTCGTCTGCACATCCTCCATCTCGTATACGGACGCACCCTCAGCCTAGTACTTCACTGTTCCAGTCTGGTGGAACAGCGTCAGTGCAGCCCCACCTCATCCAGTTGAAGGAGGTGAAGCTAGTTGTTCTTCCACCACAGCCAAATCAAGCTTCGGCTCTAATAACCCAGCCCCAGGGTCTGCTGCAGCCTGTGCCAGTCACTCGAATGCGGGGCAATCTCATTCAGATTGAGCCGCAGCCTCTGGCTCAGGCCCCTGCCCAGGCTGCGGCCCAGCCTCCTCAACCCCCTCAG